ATCAAGATATGCTCCATATACTAATATATGCCAATTCCCCAATGTACAGATACTATGTGTTATACACATACATCCGTACCCTAGTACATAGCCTAGGTATTATATATTATACAAATATATACAGAGACATTTTAATTTTTAGTCTCTGTTAGCAGTTTCTATCTCTTTGTGATCCTGAACACAGAAGAATAGGGGCAGAGCGGGTGAGCTGCCGGTGGCCCCAGCACTTGGGAGGTGGCTGCGGGGTTTAGGAGTGAAGCCAGCGGGGCCTCCAGAGGCTTTTCCACCGTGGCACTTGCATATGAAAGAAGTCAAAGTGGTCCACGGGACTTTTATAGCTTCTCTAATTGCTATTTTGTTTGTTACTGGGGAATGGTTACTTTTATTCTAAATAAGCCTATTGTAATTTTAAAGAATTATTATTGTGTGCCCAGTAACCATAATAATTTTTTCCAGAATTGTTACAGTTTATATTGGATAGTTATTCTTTTCTGTTCTCTGTTTTCAAGCTATTGCAATAAAATGCACTTCTAACAATAACTGTAGTTTTAAATGTCATTAAAATAGTCACAGATGATAGACACAGGTGCCTAATGTTTACAAATGTCCTTGAATAGCCTTCTTAAATAAGATGGGCCTTGGGTTTTTTTATGTGATATTCGATTAAAAAAAAAAAACCTAATAGAATGTAGTAGAGGAAACACAAATCTGCCACAGTAGCGTGGTAACTGGACCCACCTCTATTTCATGTTAGCTCTGGGACTCTGTAACCTCAGTTTCCTGCCACTTTTGTCACATTCCTTTCTGCCTGGCAGTGTCCGAGTTCAGTCAGTCGCACAAATGCTGGCTCTGGAAGAGAAGTACACAGACTGACAGCATGTCTACAAAGAAACCCGAAGCGCTACAGAGCTCAAACCTTTTGAGCATCAATATAACCCTTAAAAAGTTGCAGGTTTTGGAATATTCAGGATGTTGGGCTTTGCGTAAAGGTTGTGTGAATTCGGTCTCCTGTGTAAGAGCGTCGCTGTCCACGTGGCTGGCCTTCAGTAGCCGGCCACACGACACTGCTGATGATTGTTCATGCTCGATAGCTTTTGGCTCGAAAATTCTCGGCAGCTTGTTAGCAGAACACCGCTAGAGTCTGGGAAATAACCTGTGAGCTCGGGTGGGGCAGGACAGCTAAAGAAGTAGTAAAGAGTAAGTGACGTCGGAAACTTCTTTATCGGACACCAATTCTTTCAAATTTTATTGTATTTGTTCTTACTTCTAGGAAGCTTGTGTGCGTGTTACAGCCAGAAGTCTGAGTCTTGGGAACAAGTCACATATTCAGTGTTTTATTTTCATGAAGGTACTTTTCATTGTTTTATTTTATTTTTTTAAATTACATATTTGGTACATGGTCTCACTGTGCAGCTTGGACTCATAGACATCCTCCTGTCTCAGCCTCCCCAGCGATGGGATTACAGGTGTGCACCACCATACCTGGTCTTGGTGGCCAGGGCTCGGTGTGCCGGGGTGGGACCAGCACAGCATGCAGTAACGGGGATCAAACCCAGGTCCTTGAGCTTGCCAGGCAGGCACTGAGACTGCTGAGCTATCTCTGTGGCCCTATATTTTATCTTTATATAATAGCCTTTTCCCAATCTGTAATAGAAATCATTTTACTTTTCAGGTTTTTTTTTTAATCTATAGTGCTATATCTATATAATTCATGTTTCCTGAAGAAACAAGCTAATGCTAAGTATTAAATTAGCATTAAGATATCATCATATACCATGAGTTTCTGTTCTGGCCTACAGCTTCTTCTGGGCCTGTGATGTATTTGTCTAGAGTGTGTTTGCCTTTTAGTTACTACTAATCAAGACATATTTATAACTTTACTGCAGACCATTACAAAAGGTTTACTTGAAGGTCTTCATAATCCAAACCTAAATAGGTCTTCATAATCCAAACCTAAATATGCTTATTTTTATGTAACTCTGGCTCAAAATATTGATGTGGCAACAAGCTGCTCCGATAGCTGGGCACAGGGTGCCTTTTGATAGCTTTAGCCTGCAGCATGCAAAGGAGTATTTATTTATTTATTTTGGTGGAACCGGGATTGAACTCGGACCCTTGCACTTGCCAGGGAAGCGCTTATTCTACTGAGCCATCTCCCCGGCCCTATTTATTCCTTTATTGAGACAGGGTCTCACTATGTGAGTCAGCCTGAACTCGTTCTCTAGCCAGGCTGGCTTCAAATTCGGTGATCCTCCTGTCTCAGCCTCCTGAGTGTGGAAGTATTTATTTATTTTATTTCCTCAACATTAGTATCTGTTTAGTCATAGTATGAATGTGCTTAACATTTTTAAAGATAGATTTTCTCCCTAATATTTATAATATCTTCTGCTGAATCTCATGGCTCCTTATTCTGTAGGAGGGCTGGATATAGCTTGGTGTTAAAGATCAAGGTAGAAGAGTTTAAGAACTCCCTAGTATACCAAGATTAGTCTAATTAATCCCTCCTTGACTGAAAGTATGAGTGAATTCAACAACTTGAATGACCTTGGTGACCGCGTGTGTGTGCCTGTGAGCCCTGTGATGGCCTGCGCCTCCTGGGCCATCGAGAAGGTTCCTTTGGATCCTTCCTCCTCCTACAACCCACCTCTTGAGGTCTCACGTTAGGAATGAGCCCATACTGCTACTAGACAGTGAGTCACACAGACGGGCCACTGCCATGCTGGCTTTGGAGAACAAGACCCACGCGAGCTCTCCAAGTCTGCAGATGCTGCGTCGGCTTATGTTACTGAAGTCCAGAGTGTCGCCCAGAGTCCCTGGCTTGGTGATTTATGACATGCTTGCTCTGCCTTCCTGTTCTGCCCCTGCAGGGTACAGAAAGACCTTCACCACTGCTCCTGGGAGTGGTGGCTCACACGTGACCAAGGACATCACTTTCCTCAACCTCGGTGGGTGTGGGGAGAAGCCTCCTGCTCTGACTCTCCTCACAGTAAGGCTGTGCCTCGGCGCCCGCTGCCTCGCTTTCTTCTCAGTGCACTGCACTTTCTCACACCTCCTTGAGACAGGGCCCAGCGGAGAGAGAAGGCTTTGTCTGGAGCCCAGCTCCTGATCGACTCCGTTAGCGTGTGGGCTGGGAGCAAGCTTACCTTTTAGGTAGCAGCCCATAGCAAGTCATTTCTTGGTGTCAGAATGATGACTGTGAATAACATGTTCCCTGTCAGCCTGTGAGAAACAATGGAGAGGGCCAGGGCCTTTGGGAAACCGTCCATCCCTTTTTGCTAATCGTGAAAAGCTTGTGAGTCCCATAAATGATTTATGCAGCAACTTGAGAGGGATGTTTTCACTAAGTAAATATGTGCTGGAGCGTGGGTATTAGGCTTGGGCACATCAGAGGAGACTACTGTGGACAGTGGACGAGGAGGTATCGTCTCTTCTCCCCAACGAAGCCTGCTTTTCCAGGCCCAAGGGCATGTGGAGCATGGAGTTTAGTACAAGAACTAAGTAATGGAACTGTTTCTTGCTTACATGTGGGTTGGGCCTCAACAGTTACAGGCAAGTTTCAGTTTAGAGCCCCTGATTCTTGATATCCTTCCCAGCCCTGCTCCCCGGGTCACCTGCTGTCACGCTCAAGGTTAGGCAAGTATGAGGGAAGGACTGAGAGGTGGGAGACCCCACATCCGAAGTGGGCACGAGCAGTTCTGTTGAGTGGCACTACTTGACGACGTCAGAGTTTTACGCTGTCTGGGCCAGCTGGGGCAAATTTTAACGTGATTTGGGACCTGTGGGAAACGGGTGCAGAGAGGCCTGGCCCTCTTGCTTCCTGAGATAAGGGGGAGGAACAGCATTCCTTGGGCCTGGGCCTCAGTTCTTATCAGCAGCCCACTGCCACGGTGGTGTGGAGACTTGCCACTACAGACTTAGCGTTTTGCGAGGGCAAAGGTGCCTTCCTTTCCACCCCCCGGGGCGTGACTTGGAAAGCGGGGGCAGGATTTCATCCGGTCTTGAGAGTGGAGGGACAGTAATAGGAGCGCTGGCTCACCCGGTGGCCTCACACAGGTCGCCTGCTTCCTGGCCTCACTTTACGTAACAGGCACGGAATTGTGCCCTAGGATTAAACTGGTCCAGAGGGAATTTTTATGAAAGCAGTATTACTTTTTAGAGGATATAAGTTTTGCCATTAATTGCTTGTATTGTTATCTTGTTAAAAGTAACTTATATGAATTGAAATATGAGAGAACAGAGTTTAACAATTTCTCCCCAGATCCCAAGCCCACCTCAAGGAGAGTTATGCTTTTAAATAAAAGTAAAGTCACAAGTTCTACGAGCTCAATGTTTACCTGAGGCATCTTGATCCTTATGACAAGTGTGCTCGGTGTGGTACCCCACTTAACAGTTGAGGCAGCTGAGGCTCAGGCAGCGTAGGGAGTGTGGGTGTTTCCGGGCTGGCCCAGTTTTTCCCTGTTGTTCTTACCAATTACCACAAACTCAGAGCTTTAAGCAGCACATTCTCTTGTAGCTCTGGAGGTCAGAAGTCTGTAATGAGTGTTGAGCTGAAATAAAACTATAGGCAGGACGGTTTCCTCTGGCGATCTAGGGAAGGGGTTGTCCCCCACCTGTCCCCTGCCCCTTGGGCTGGTTTGGTTTGGCTCAGGGCTGTAGCTCTGCCCTGCTTTGGCCACCATACCTGGTCTCCTCTGCAGCCCAGTCCCCCTTAGGCTCCCTCCTACCAGGGTTTTTGGGGTTCCTTTGGGTCCCCCTGCATGCTCTAGGGTACTATCCTGATCTCAAGACCCTGACTATACCTGCATGGTCCCTTTCATCACTCAGCTTCACAAGCTCTGGAGATCAGCACATGAATCCTAATTTTTCGTTTTACTTTGTCTATAGTTTTTTGGGTGCTGGGGATTGAACCCAGGGTCTTCACGCTGGGCTACGTCTCCAGCCTTTGTTATTTCTAGACAGGGTCTTGTAAAGTTGCCTCGGGCTGAGCTAGAATTTGCTGTCCTCTTAGCTCAGCGTGCCAGAGTACAGGGATGTAGCCAGGGGCCGCCACATCCAGCGTAGCCCATGAACACTTGTAGGGGTAGTCACTTAGCTTACCACGATATATGTCCTATTGATCTGAGGAGAATCATTCTTCCTGTGAGGCTGACCAGCACATCTAGGGACTGCAAGTCCCTAGAGTCCATGCAACAAGTTCAATAGGAGTCCTCGCCCTATCACAATGAGCTGCTAATCCAGAACACGCTCATGAATTCCCAAATGCCCTTGTGCCTGTGAGATAGCACAACCCTGATTCATGGTTCAGTGGTCAAGATTGGGGTCCTCCTGAGATCGCTGGCCAAACCCTCTCTGCTACGCCCAACTAGAGCATTCCTTGTGCCTTTCTGTTAAAGTTGCCATGATAATTAGATGATCACAGTCATCTGTGTTGCCATCACTTTAGTTCCTGTGGACTGAACAGACACCCAAGCCAGGTAACTAAAGTATTAGATTCTCTTTCCCTTTCCACAGATCTCCTTTGCTGTCAGCAATTAGCATGTTTCTTTGCTCCTTAGAGGAATCTAGCTGGTTCACTTAAAATCCAAATACGAAATTCACTACTAATATGTGAAATTTTCTGGTTTTCTGAGAACCTAGAAAAATGATTGGCCAAGGCTCTCTCCACTCTCCCATTGCCAAGAAACCTCTTTGTATACCAGGTCTCAATCTAGGTGCAGATCTTGATCCCCAAATCTCCAGTGTAGGGCCTTGCAGGTGTGAATTCTAAGTGGCTAGCTACGCAAGGAAATACGTGAGTCCTTCCCAAAATGTTAGGATGCCTGTGGATGTTGTCTTGATGAATATCAATTTAAATGTTCCTTACACCAAAAGCTAATGGCTAGAAGGAGCAGACAACTATGGGAAATTAAATTTTAGAATTTTTCCCAAACTGGAAGATGCTTTGAAGAAAAGTCCCACTGTGTGCTATTCCTACCCTGTCAAGGGCCAGGGAGATAGCTCAGTGGAATAAGTGCTTGCCTGGCAAGCACAAGGTCCTGAGTTCAATCCTTGGTACTGGAAAAAAAAAATAGAACTTAA